GTTCACAGAACTACATTGATTGAATTCTATTTCAATGACGTCATCATTGGCCGCTTGTCACATGATTGTGATCGTATCCAAAACGAAAAAAAAAATCCTGCCTTTTCTCGTTGATGTTTTTATTTGTTTCTTCTGATCGACATCGAAGGCCGGGGAAAATATACCTTGATGAGAAATGAGACAAGAGGGGAGGGGTGGAAAGGAGGGTATGGGAGGGAAGGATGGGGGAGGTACGAGGTAGTTCATATAACTTTTTTTAAAATTTCTTTTTACGATTCTCCTAGGCCGATTTCTCCCTCGCTAATTGCCTCAATCTTCGTGACGTCATTTTGGTGTATTTTTCTCGTAACTTCTTCACAACCCGTTTGATATCGTTGTTTTTTTTCTGACTTTTTCTTCTGCCCTATTCTACGTGACTTGATAGTTCTCTAATTAATGCTGATAGGTACAATGGCAAGATGGAGGTCGGGAGGGTGGAATATGGGGAGAGTGGAGGACGGGGGGGGGGGGGGGGTAGAGGACGGGGAGGGTAGAGGACGGAGAGGGTAGAGGACGGGGAGGGTAGAGGACGGGGAGGGTAGAGGACGGGGAGGGTAGAGGACGGGGAGGGTAGAGGACGTGAATGGTGGAGGACGGGGAGTGAAAAGGACGGGGAAGGTCGAGGTCAGTTCTTAAAGGACGGGGGGGGGGGGGGGGGGTAAAAAGGAAAGACGGCCGAGTTGTTTTCAAATTGTTTGGCTGCCATTAAAAGTTTCCACCGACCAAGCTTAGCTCCAATCAAGGCATTGTCTTAGTTCATTAGTTTAATGATGATGAGCTAGACATGACGTCACACCTTGTTGTCGCTTGTCGTCAAAGAACGAATGGCGTCTATTTTGTTATTTTTAATTATAATTACCGTTTCTTCCATATTAGTTTTTCTCTGTTTTGTTGTACAATTTTTTCGTTTTTGTTATGTCTGCCCATGCACTTTAAATCCTATTTCCCTGTTGTTTCTGCCTTAAATTTCTTTCGACCATCCAGTTTTTATTCACTATTGTCGGACTGCATTTGTATACAATAAAAAAGTATTCACAATAATTAATGTAAATTAGTAAACAATGCTTTCATTTCCGTGCGAACCAAAGATGATGTTTTGATTTGATATTAAAATAATTTTTAAATTTTGAATTAAAATAGAGTAGACTTTTGTAGGAGGCACGGGTTGGGAATTCTGATTTAACGGGAGGAAGTTATCGGATCGATTTGTATTGATTTCCGTTTTGATTAGCTCTTTAGAAGCTTCACATTTTCATCCATTGGTTGTAATACGTCTTAATCGAACTAGGCCTTAGGCTGCTTGAAGTAGCTCCATTGTCGGCATCAAAGCATTTAGCAATCATTGTCACGAAACCGGTACACATTCTATTTTGAGGTACAACTATGGATACTTTTGTTCGTTATATATATATATATATATATATATATACATACATATGTATATATATATATATATATATATATATATATATATATATATATATATATATATGTATATATATATATATATATACATATGTATATATATATACACATGTATATATATATACACATGTATATATATATACACATGTATATATATATACATATGTATATATATATATATATATATATATATATATATATATATATATATGTATATTTATATGATTGGTGTGTGTTATATTGAAACCATTCTACATGCCAACGTTCCGTATACAAGCAACATAGTCTTATGAGCACACGCACATATAAACGATAGCACGTGCATAAACATACTCACACAAAAAATACACACAAACCCGCATGTAGACTCACAAATGAATGACTCAGATTTGCAATTAAAACTACAGGTTTAAACAGAAGCTAGGATACAATGTGCCTTCTGTTCAACGGTCATTAGTTGTGGCACACACACAATACATTCAGAACTGCCTTTTCTTGACTTGCCAATGAAATATTTTACACTACATCTAGTACTCTTCATATTAGCTTGTGAAGTTTTTCTTTTCACAGTTTAACTAAGCTTTTAAGTTGATAAAGTAGTAATTTACCTTTCACCGCTAAACTTACTAACCTGTACATTCTTGTAAAACTGTGTAGTGTTTGCACATTGCTACGTTTTGTTTATAGACACCTACTGTTTTCAGTACATGTATTTTCTATAATTATAAACCCCATATACCTAATATAGCATATGAAGGTTTTTACCGCTGTTTTCGTACTTTCTAGTATTAAATGCACGAACAACGTATAAACAATGCAAAAACGGAGTAATATTGATAATGACATTTAGTTTTTATCTTTTCATGGATACCAAATTACCTACACAGAAAGAGAACAATACCAAAATACGTGTAATATATTAGTCCAAATCAAATGAAGCTGCTGCATAATTTCACTAACACTTAAGATATTTAGCTGTGCTGTACCTCTGAGCTTATGCTGGGGAAACTTCAAACCATTCAACGCAAGTCCCGAAAAAAAAGGGGGCGTTACCCAAGGCTGAACACCAGCAGCCATGACATCTGCCGAAAACCTGCTCCGTTTTTTGTTTACGTTTGCGACATTCAATAGGATATTTGCGTACTTGCCTCCTGTACAGTCAGGTAAAGACGACGGTGTTTCTTTATGTGAACAACACGCTATGACCCGACACCACAGGAAGATAGTCCGACTGGGCGTGATACTACCTTACTACAGAAACTATCCTTGGCGAGTCCAGTTGACCCACCCCGCGTTGGAACTGGCGCTGGATCGAATCCGCGGCTGGCCGGGACTTTTGGATAACTACACGCTGGAGTTTATTTTCAGAGATTCCGACTGCTCGGATACGACGGCGCCTCTGGAAGCGATCGACATGTACACGAAAAAACTCGTGGACGCTTTTTTGGGCCCGGCTTGCGACTACGCCGTGGCGTCTATAGCAGGATTTACGGTAGTCTGGGAAATCCCGGTCATCACTGCCGGCGCTCTGGTCAGCAACTTTGCGGATAAAACAGCATACCGGCTCTTAACCCGAGTCCAGGGTAACTACGACAGTGCAACCAAGTCTTTCGCGGCCATCATGCGTCGCTTCCGGTATAAGAACATTGGCCTGTTCTACGATTGGATGACGGAGTGCAAGTTTATTTTGAGCTCGTTTTACACCGAGATCAAGGCCCAGCTGAATCCGGATATGGATAACCACATGACCGAGAAATTCGAGGGCGTCTCTGGAATCGAGGCCGCTCTGAAACGACTTTCGGGAAATTCCAGAGGTGAGATCAAGGATATTTCTTTCTACTTTCTTCCTTGAGAAAAAACAAATTCCTCCATTTAGAAAGAACCATAGCTCTAAGTAAGCAATGGCTGTAGGCATTAAATTTTCAAAATTTTATTTGACAAATAGTAACCTTTTCTTTAATTAATTTGCGCACTTTAAAATATAAATATCAAATTAACCTAAATATGAGCATAGTGCTAATAAAATAAATGTTCTACAAAACTTCTTTCATTGACTGCGCAAGCGCCTGTTTGAATTTTGCTTAAGGCCATTTCTGTATACATTCTTGAGGCAGAAGGCTTCCTTTTAACACTAAATGAATCAATCTCTTGGATATATTTCATTTATTTTTTATATGCAGCGCCCCTAGTGTCAAAAGCGCGACCGTGATTTGTACGATAACGATTACATCACACCTGCACTTCCATAATGTATACCTGGCTCTGTTGTAACCCATATGATTGTATCAGTGTGTGCTAAAATATGGTGCTACAGGCATATGCATGTTGGTTGCTTGGTGCAATGGGTGGGCGGCTGAACTCAACTTTTCTTTTTTCTAATGTATTCAGAACTCTTTTCTTTCTCTCTGCATATATATATATATATATATATATATATATATATATACATATATATATATATATATATATATATATATATATATATATATATATATGTCTATTATTGGCATTTTCATGATAGAAACGCCGTTTTATATCGTATTTTCTGTGAGCCTACCTTAACGGTGTTTCATTTTATTTGGATATATTCACCATAATATGGCGACACCGCCCAAATGTATAAATACAGCTACACCATTCGTTACAATGTATAATTAATGGACCTAAAGTAAATTAATTACTATTCCACAAGTAAACCAATTGTCAGCATTAACACCAAGTCATTTTACTTCCATCTGTTTTCACTATTTCGCACATAATTAAATTAACATTGACACGAAAGCGTCGACACGCCTACACTATATGTTATTTTCTACACGCATTCCTACACTTACACCAAACGTTACACTTACATTAAAGCTTACACATCGAACCCCTCAGCTCTCAACTTACACCCAACATAACCCAACCTCGGTCCCCTCAACTACAACTAACACGTGTATTTTACAACATACTCGATTACAATAAAGGCATTAAATACCGTAAATACCCTATGTAGGTATCTGAGTCTACTAAAACTTCTAGATAAACGTATCGATATTCTCTTGACACTAGTTAGGTAAGTTATTGATCGCATTGTGTTTTTTTTTCCTTGAGTATGTAACGATGCAAGTATATTTGAATCTAAGGCGAAGGCCTACAGTTATACAGTCATACGGTGCGTTATTATAAAGATAATGACTGTTTATGCCATAGAATCCGGTAATTTGATTCATATTATTTTGCGTATTTTTTCCTTTACCAGTTGTTGCTATTTGCGTGTATGTTATTGAATTATTTGTTACAGTGTTAAATAGTTTTAAATTTTAAACAACAAATTAACTGCATTAGTAGATTGGATATGCTATTGACAGCGAATGATTGTTTTTTTAGTTTGATTTTGTTTTCCTAAGCTGTATTACATTGCATGAAGAATATAATAAGTAGTGTCAAAGTTTAATTTATGAATTGCAGTCTATCTGATATAATTGTAACACATTTATTGGAAATTAAGTTTCCTAAAGAGTTTTTCAAAGTCAGAGGATTTTATTCCAATCATGGATGTACATAAAGAGAAGACTACGGGTATAAAGTTAAACTTGACAGGAAGGACTAACCTCCCCTGGATTCTAAAACTACTCCTGCTGCTTGCGTTGTTTCTGAAAGAATCCGGCGCGTCTTTCTCCGTGGCGCCGACCTGCGAGGCGTCAGCCAGCAAGCGTCACCGCAACCACATCATCCGCATCGGCGTCATCCTGCCCTTCGAGGGGGACATGCTGTGGCGTCTGCACCTGGTTCGCCCGGGGCTGGAGCACGCCGTGGACTACATCAGCAGCAGGCCGGGTCTCCTGGACAACTACACCATCGAGCTGGACTACAGGGACTCCAGGTGCTCGGAGGTCTACGGCCCTTTAGAAGTGATTGACATGTACACCAAAAGAACCGCGGACGCTCTTCTAGGCCCGGCTTGCCCATATGTCCTCGCTGTTGTTGCCCGCTTTGTAAAAATCTGGCAAATCCCTCTTCTCAGCGCGACGGGGTTCGAATCCGCTTTTACAAATAAAAATGAATACGGTTTAACCCGGTTACTTGGGCACTATACGGGCTTAGGGCAGTTTATAGGCACCATCATGAAAAATTTCAAGTACCGGTCTATAGGATTGATGACGTTTGACTACCTGGATCAGGGTAAAGGCAGGTCGGATTGCTGGTTTCAGATCGAGGCCGTGTTTCTGGAGATTAAGAGGCATATCGCGCCGGATTATGACGAAAAGACTGGTGAGACTTTCAACAACACTGATCCTAACCAGATCGACACAATATTGAAAGCTTTATCCAAGATCTCCAGAGGTGAGATACATTTTAATTTTAATTTTTTTTTGGACATACTTCAACGTAATGTCCATGAGTAATAATTGAGAAAGGACACCTTAATAACAATATATTTTTGTTTTAATTTCATGAAAACTATTGCATGCGGTAAGAAAATATAGACAATACTTCTTAACTTCAACAGTTTACTTCTAAAAATTTGATTAGTTATTATAAAAGGTTTAACTAAATTGTCAACATCATCACATCTTTCATCAATGGATACAGTGGACCTCGTCAGCCAAATCATCAATATCCACATTTCCTGGAACTAAGTTATCTCCTGTAATTTGGTTCTGATAATGTTAATGATAATTATGCTCAAATTTTAGTCTAATTACGTGATGCAGTTCTTGACGTCTGATTTGATTTAGTTTAACACTTCTTCTTCTTCGTTTTTAATTTTAGTGTTGGAATGGATCCCCTCCAACACAATTAAGTATACATGTCAACTGGTTATTCGCCATTGAAGCCATTGACTCCGATTTCAGCCTGCTTTTCTTATTGGATTTGCTTCCATAGCCTTTGTCCAACCAAAGAACAAACCACAAGGCTGCAGTTGTTTCATTTTGGAGTTGTCTTTCCTAACACATTTTAGTAGATTGTTTGTTTCATCGACACTCTATCGTTTTTTTCGTGTCTGTTTTGCCTTGCCGACATTTACAAAAAATATCTCTCGCGATTTGACTTGTAGTTTCCGTACTGTCTAATACTTGAGCGTGATTAATTACTCAACTCAGCCTCATACAGTTTGCATATACTTCCATATAAAGTTATATGTGTACACATGAAATTTCGTGTATATAGTATGTACAGCGCTACCTCTTGCGTACATCAGAGTACAACATTGAATATTAAATTGAATAATATACATCATCACATAACACTAATATTTGTGTACTTTTAATACGGGTGTAGTGATCAGTGTACACACACGTGTGTACACACTTCTAGCCTGATCACACGCTCAAGCACGACTTCATTTTGTGTACAAAAAACCGCCATTTTTAAACTAAAAACTTCACCGTTCTCATCTTATACATCGATTTTCACACGAGTAATCGCTCTTTAATTTATAAAACTGATTTAAGGTTTAAGTGGTGTTGGGTATCAATTCCATCCGTAAAATTATTTAAGCCACAATAAATCCAGTAGGACCTTATCAAAGAGGTTAAGATCACAATAACCAATGAATATAGTTTAACAATGCATTGACCGAATTGTTATTGACAATACATTGATTGAAACAATGTTAACAAATTTAAAAAATGGATTTAAAATACACACTGTGTTAATGTTAAAATAAACATCCCTACAGGGGACGTAACTAAAAACTCTATAACACATACATAATGCGGAAAAATAACTGATTTAATCAAACCTTTTACAAGACATACGTCTTATTTTTTGTAATCAAGGTCTGTTGTAGTTTTAGTCAATGGTATGACACGTTTTTTTTTTAAAATGAATATGTGTGATTGCTTTCTTTTACAGTATTGTCATCGTTTGAAATATTCGTTTTTTCTGTGAATGAATGTACGGTTTTACATGTGATGGGTATTTTTTTCAACAATGCTGTTCGTACGATTTTTAGTGATATATTGTGCTTGGTGCTAGGTGCTTCAATCGTGGTGCTATGAGCTTTACTCGTAGAGGTTGGTGCTTGAAGTCTACAGTTTGATGCTTAGATTTAAATCCTGCTTTTGTAAACTATATTAGTATTTTATGAGCTTTACGTCCGGTCTTAGTATTACTCTATCACAGGGGATTCACTATCACATCATCAGAATTTATAATCACAAATTACATTACAGTGCATACACACTATATAAAACCATACACGGATTGTTACTCCTGCAACCATTCTGCTCTTAAGCTACCAACAGCATTATAACATATTCTCCTTACAGCTACAGCATTAGAATATATTACCCATAAACCACCAGCGTTACAACATCTTTACAATATACCACCAAGATTACAACATATTCCCACTAGATCAGGGGTCTCCAAACTACGGCCCGCGAGGTCCTCCCATTCGGCCCTCGGAGATCTTTTTGTCCACGGGAAAAAAAATGTTTGTTGTATGTGGCTATGGAAAAATGCCACCCCAATGAGATGCCTGGAAGAAACTCCTGGCCCCCGAACTTATATTTGATAGTTAATGCGGCCCTCGGGCTGAAAAGCTTGGAGACCCCTGCACTAGATCATCAGCATTACACCACATATGCCATAAACTAACAGCATTACAACATATTCCAATACACCAACAGCATAACGACATATTCTTCTTACACCATCGACATCACTACATATTCCCCATACACCACCGTCGCTGCATATTTTCTATACACCAACGACATCACTGCATACACCAGCTGTACTTTAAACAACAGACTCCCAGAAAATCCCAGCACCCTTTCTTCACTAAAAACGATTTTCAAACGCTCTAACTTGAACACAAGCATAACCACACCCCCAACCCAACGGCCATGTCACTTTGACCTAACAACCCTCTAATTGGATCAACATGCCTTTTGTAGGAACTAAAATTTCACCCAACTGCCTCTATTGTGTATAGAATTCGCTTTTCTTCTCCCTAAATCTGAAGAAAAAAACTAAACCAATTCCTTTAATTTCTTATGCAATCCATTATTCTTATTGTAATCTACTATGTTTTAAGTTTATGCAGATTAAAAAAAACCGTTATTGATTTTGCTTCATTTTTTTCTGTTGCTAAAATATTTTACAGGGATACAGCGTTTATTTCATTTTATTTGCTGTAAAAACAAAATCGGTCTAACTTTATCTGACGCTCGTTGTTGTGAGAGTTGTTTCGGTTGCCTGCCCAATAGGCTTTGAAGCTAAAGAGACGCTAGAACTTCTGTCTGCAGTGTACATTGCTTTCGTCAGTTTTTTAAAAATGTTTTGTTTTTGTATGTGTTTTAAATGGGAAGGGCGGACGACTTGTTTAAATAAGCAGATGGAGAGTGTATTATTTAATTTAAAGATTTTGGTATTAGAGTCTAAAGTGTGCGTATATATGTATATTATTGATATATACATATATATATATATATATATATATATATATATATATATATATATATATATATATATATATATATATATATATATATATATATATATATATATATATGTGTGTGTGTGTGTGTGTACGTGTAGAGCACCAACCTGCATACTGTGAATTGTGACCAATCACACATTGTACCCCTAGGGATGTATTGATTTTGACGAAATGAAATTGTATATTGAGTGATCGCGGTGATTGAGGCGAAATGACAACGTGTTCCCGTTGATTAGGGCTGCGCTCCAGGATCTATACGATGGGTCAATCAGGTGGGATAACTCGGACCAGCCTCGCCCGTTTTCGGCTTCGTTATTGTCTCCCTTGGGTAACCCTGTTCTTCGTGGTGTTCGCGAGTTCGGATTCAGCCGAGGGATACTCTGACGTCACCGGGGATGCGTCGTGTCACGTCTCCGCGGCGGCGCGTCATAAAAGTCACGTGATTCGCATCGGCGTGATCGTCCCTTTTGACGGCGATCACTTTTGGAGATTAGAATTAACCCGCCCGGCTCTGGAACACGCCGTGGATTACATCCACAAAACGCCGGGGCTTCTGGATAACTACACCATCGAGCTGGATTACCGGGATTCGAAATGCTCAGACGTCTACGGGCCCCTGGAGGCCATCGACATGTACACGAAAAAAACGGCCGACGCCTTTCTCGGCCCGGGCTGCAACTACGCCATGGCGGCCGTCGCCCGTTTCGCCGCCGTTTGGAAAATCCCCCTCCTGACCGCCACCGGCTTGGAAATGGCCTTCGCCAATAAAAAAGAATACCGCTTAACCCGTTTGCACGGTCACTACATGGGCGTGGCGGAGTTCATGGTCCAAGTTGTACACCGCTTCCACTACACTTCCGTCGGTCTGCTCTACTTCGACTACATGAACCAGGTGCAAGGAAAGTCGGACTGCTGGTTCATCACGGAGGCCCTGTTTTACGCCCTCTCCAACCACCTCAGCCAGCAGTACCGGAAGGAGTTTGTCGAGACCTTCAACGACACAGACCAGCAGCAGGTCGACGCCAAGCTGCGGGCTTTGTCCAAAATCTCGCGAGGTGAGGTCCCGTGATATTTTTTTTATGTTTTCATTATGTATTTATTTCGAGCAATACCTTTCATTATTTATATCCAGGGCAGAGTCTTTTTACGACATTTAAAAATTCTCTGCGGAATTTTAACAAAAACTGATAACAAGAATTATCTCCCCTTATTTTTATTTTATATTTAAAAAACTCGTTTTCTTTTATCAGCTAAATTCCTCACACGCATTTTCAAGAGAACAAATAAAGATGTACTCTTAAATATCTATTTCTCTGTAGTACTAGAAAACAGTTTTAATTTTTTTTAAACAGTCAATGCTTTAGCTTCTAAAATAATCAGAAATCAAGTTTCTCCATATTGCATGATCAGATGAGAGATTGATATCCTCCCCTCAGTTACGTCATTAACCTCTCTTTTGATGAGGTGTAGCGTGCCATTGAATCATCTGGTGACGTGAAAAGTTTAACTACCTCCCCTTTATTTTAAACCTTAGGGGTAAACAGCAGGCCGGTTGGTGGGATTCTGCGACTCCCTGGGGTGGTTGCTGCCCTTTGATGTGGTCATAATTCTTATTAACTGGCCGAATGATGTAAGGATATAAATATCATTAATGATACTTTCGAAATTCAAGGTAGATAATAGTTAAACTTTTTTATTTTATATTTGGGTAACAGCGGTTTTTTTTTTTTTTTTTTTTTTTTTTTTTGAAAATGGAGCAATATTTTTAGTTTGTTTCAAAGACTTAGAATTGCATTTTTTGTTTATAGGGAAAGTAGTTTATTAAGCACATTATCTCCAAGACTAACTTTAAAACAAAACATAGATGGTAGATGTATAAAGATTGAATTCCTTACTTTTCTATCTACCACTGCCCACTTAGTAGAAACTCTTTCCATGTAAACACACGTGAATGGTAAATGTGATTATTTGACCAATGTAAGTGTGGGTACATAGGCGTGCGGTTAATGTGGCAACACAAAAGAGTGTAGATATATAGGCGAGTGGCGGGTGTGGATGAATATATGAGTGGTAAGTGTAGATATATAGGAGAAAGCTAAGTGTAGATATATAGGAGAAAGGTAGATGTAGATATATAGGAGAAAGATAGGTATAATATATAGGAGAAAGATAGGTATAGATATATAGGAGAACGGTAAGTGAATATATATATAGTAGAAAGGTATGTGTAGATATATAAAAGAAACGTAAGTGTAGAGATTTAGATGAGAAAGGTAGGTATAGATATATAGACGAAAGGTAAGTATAGATATATAGAAGAAAGGTAGGTGTAGATATATAAGAGAAAGGTAAGTGTAGATATATAGAAGAAAGGTAAGTGTAGATATATAGGAGAAAGTTAAGTCTAAACATATAGGCGAACAGTAAGTGTAAATATTTAGGCGAAAATAAATGTAGATCAATAGCGAAAAGGAAAATGTATATGTATAAACGATTGATAAGTGTAGATATCTAGACGAAAGGTATGTGTAAATATATAGGTGAGTGTCACGTACATATATATAGGCGAAAGTTAAGTGTAGAATACAGGGTGTATATAAGACCACTATAAACGTAGACGGTTAGGAACTCACAAAGAGCGGCCCACGGCAAGAATGTCGAGCCTCTTACCCTCCCGACTGACCAGGTTTACAATTTACAGGCACATAGATAAGAAATCAAATCACTCTGACAGACCCTTGAGCCTGAGCGGAATCACAAACACCTAATCGATCGCGATTTTTATTGATACTTCTCCTTATCGTAGCGCTCAACTGACTAGAGTACCAATAAAACTGTAACTTGTGTTTTTTTTTCTGTAACATTCTATACTTTTTTAGCCTAAGACTTAGCTGCATACTTTTGTTTTTTTGGCCGTGCTTTAAGATTGTTTTATGCAACAACAAAAGCTTTTGGAATATGTGTTAATGACCGGCTTTTGTATGCCCTATAAATAGCCTTCAACATAATGTTTTACAGCCTAACAATAGCCTTAAAAGTGCTTTGATAATAACAAAGATTTTGACACACATGATTCACACTAACAAAGTAACCACTTTCCGTGTTTTCTACCAACAAACTAACCAGTGTTTCTTCCAGACTTTTTTCTTCGGGGTGGGGGGGGGGGCCTTGATATTTTCGGGGGGGGGGGGGGCGGACACTAGTAAAAGTGTATGTTGACTATATAAAATCCATCTCGTTCGGGGGGGGGGGGGGGGCGGTAGACTTTCTTCGGGGGGGGGGGGGGCAAGAGCCCCCCGAAGAGATGCCTGGAAACTCTGAAACTGACCAATGTCCGTGTTTTCTACCAGCAAACTGACAAATATCCGTGATTCCGACTAACAAACTGACCAAAGTCCGTGTTTTCTACCAGCAAACTGACAAATATCCGTGATTCCGACTAACAAACTGACCAATGTCCGTGATTCTCATTAAAAAACTGACCAATATCCGTTATTCCGACTAACAAACGATCGATGTCCGTGATTCTCATTAAAAAACTGACCAATGTCCGTGATTCCCACTAACAACTACCTATGCTTTTCACCAACGAACTGACCACTGTAGGCCTACGTGTTTTTCGCTAACCAAAAGACCACTGATAGAATTACCTACTGACCAATTATCCCATGTCTTTTATTCTAATCCAAGTCCATATTACATAATAGCGACACTGAACGAGTTATAAACTATTGACAGTAGATCTTTGTGCTAAATAACGGCTAATGTCAAGGACATATAATAACGGCCGCTGTCCTGTTAACTCAAATTGTAATATTTCGATTTCTAACACGACTTTAACACTCACTGTCCGTATAAGATTTATTCTGTAAAGCCGAATTTAAATAGTTCACAGCCATTAAATCAATGCATCAACTACCTTGCCGACAACAAAACAGCGATATCTTATTTTGTTTTACATTCCTGGTTTGCATATTATAATATACTCATACATTTTACAGGAATCACTCGATTTATAACAATCTAATCAACAGATACTTTATAACATGGCTAGTTCGTAATGTGCATAACAGATTGAGGATTTTTTAATCTGATGCAGGCACTGTATGGATTGCAGAGAGCACGCGGACAGCTTGAAGTTTCGGTGTGTTCAAAAGTTTATGAATGTGTGTTTTAAAGAATTATGTACAGTAACTGTATTCTGAGGCAAAGCTAGGTTGAGGGTTGGTACGATCAGATGGTAGAGCGTACGGCAAATAACCCGAAAGAATCGAGTTCAAATCCGAGGCTTGGCTCCGCAGAACGTCCACCCAGCTCTGATGGGTTCTTGACATCGTTAGGAAACACAAAAACGATTGGAAATAGTACTGACCATTCTATCACTTCATATGCCGAGTTCACAGAAAGAGTTGAACTATACTTCATATGTCCCATTGACCGTCAGGTTCGAAAACGTCACTACTTTGTAGCGTGTTAGACTTAGTTTTAGATTTAGAACTACGATTAAGTTTATGGGTGCGCAGCCATACCATTTCAACATATTTAATGTGTATTACTCGCTCAAAAAGCACCGGATTTAAAAGTAAAAAAACAGCCACAAAACAACCTTAGAATAAAGTTTCACGGCCACAAAGCTTTATGTCTATGATAAGGTTTATTTGTTCCCTAAAAGCTCCATTCCTTGTTTTTTAGTAACGTCCGATCTCACCGAATCAATCGTGGATCGATGATCGATCCTGCAATAAACCATTGTTTGCTACATTTCAATCAGAGCTACTGAAGTCAACTTGAATCACTCAAGTCCATGGCCCGAGACCCAACCCCTCCCCCCTCTCCTTTAGCCTTAACCCCCGGGGTTTTAAACAGTTACATGGGGTGCGAGGTAGGGGAGAGAAACAAGAATACTAATTTGTTTGTAGCTTTGTATGGGGCGTGGCGAAGGGCGCATAAGCGATTGTTCGTAATCTTGGATCAAGCGAGATATTTGTTCCGCTTTATTAAAGCACCGTAAAAATCGTTCGGCTCCACGTAATATGATTTAAGTCACGGCAGGGGTTCTGTGTGAACAAACGGAAAAAAATCATTTATGTGTTAAAATAACGGGATCATTAACCTAATTAAAAATCGATGGTTGTGTTATAAATAATGCATTTTAATTGTCATTATAATGTTATAGTAAGCAAGTTTTAACCAGTGTTTCTTCCAGACTTTTTTCTCCAGGGGGGGGGGTGTCACTTGATATTTTCGGTTTGGGGGGTGGGCGGACAACATTTTCCGGGGGGGACACTATATAAATTCCATTTTAATCGGAAGAAATGCCTGGAAGAATTTCTGATTTTAACTAGCTCATTGTGAGGTCAAGCATATAACGATTTTATTTCTGTTTGACTTAGGTCAATCTTTAAGAGTTAGTTTTCTAAAAAATTCAAATATTTAAGTTTTTTTAAATGGGCGGTGGACTCGGTTTCGTAAATGGAAGACACTATCGTTACTTGTTTACTGTGTTTACTGTGTTTACCATGTTAAAAAAAATGATTTGCAAAAACAAACAAAAAATGGTTCGTCACATCGTGTAGTAGGTTTTAATATCATGACGATCTTATTCGTACACGTGGAGGTATATAACACAAGAGATATCTAATTTGCGATACGAACGGATTTTTAAAATAACCTTCATTCAAGAAAGGCGTAAGTTGACGGATTACACGCTTTTAAATATTCAACTATTTACACGCAAGTACAATCTATCCCCTCAACTGCATTTCAGTGATCAAAATACCCCCCCCCCCCCGAATTACACACACCTCCCATCCATACTCCCTACGATCGATCTACTGGTGATAAAGATACCCCCCCCACACACACACACTTCCCATTAACTACCCCACGGGCTAAGGGTGATAACCCCCATTCCTACACACCCACACACACACACACTTCCCATCCTTACTGCCCCGGTCTACCGGTGATTAAAAAGTAACCTCCACACACACACACACCTCCAATCCATACTCCTCAAGATCTACTGGTGATAAAAATATCCCCATCCCCAGAC